GCCACTTTTGCTAAATGAAAATTTCTGCTTCTTTGATGTCACACTTATATTTCACATCCAAAATAAGTGAGAGAATTTGCTGGGGTTCATCCAAATATCTGAGAACTGGACACAGAATAAAAGAACCAAAACCACATCCAGTCCTCTGGAAACATCATGACACAAACTAATCTGCAAATGACAATATTTCACATGACAAGAGAGCTCTCTGGCTGCAGGCACGCAGCAGACCCAGCTCACAGCTGGTCACTGTCGCGAGGTCACAATGTGAACAACCACAGTATAATCTTTAAAGAAAAGCCCCTGGATAAACAGTGGAAACACTTTCACAACCTGCCTTAACCCTTAGGTCCAGATGGAGTCTCACTGACTGTGTTTCCAAAGGGGTGTGCCAGGGGTCAACAGGCATGTGTGTTCCTCTGTGTGTGTGAGCGCATGCCTATCTGTATGATTTTTTTTTTCTTTTTTTTGCCCGTGTTTGATTGTGTATTGGTACAGTTGAAAAAACTGTGTTGTATCTCAGTTTACTCTGCTGTTCAGAGCAGTGCACCTGTCTCAAAACGGACAATGAATTTGTTCCAATCTCAACTTGAATGAAGTCCAAAGGCATTTCATTTAAAAAACATACCACAACTTTAATGTTACTATTCTACTGAACAGATGGCTGATTAGGGTCAAGAGATTGACAATATCCTGCTTAATATATCGTTACTGGGGCTGAACAATTTGGGAATTTTTTTTTGCAAACTACAATTTAATAATAAGCATTTTCTCCCTTTTCTTCTGTATTACTTCCTGCCAACAAGCTTTACTAGAAATGACTAAGACGACGAACCCAACATCCTCATACATGCACCAGTGGTGCTGAGGACTGGGTTTGCTTTGTCTCAAACTGTATTTTTGCTTTTCATAACTAGTTATTTGGCTGCAAAACTTGACTGGCGTTTGCACTAGATTCATTTGGAGCTGTGGTCCTGAATCCTCGGCTGTCTGCACAGTTACTGCTGCTAGATGCCCTTAGCTATTTGAAGCATGTGATATTCAACTACTTTTCTCTGCCATGCCAAGTGAGTCAATAACAGTGACTGCTGCTGCCTCAGCATTTAATGAGGACAATATTATGAACACTAACCGGGTGGCAGAGCCATGGGACTGAACCGGCCATGGTTAGTGGAGGGAGACAGAGGTGAGGGAGGCAACAGTCACTCACAGAACCACAGCGAGCTGTGCTGCTGCTCCACCTGCATAAAGAAAGCAGAGCCTTTCTGTATCCATCTGAGCTCACAGCTTCTCTAAACTAGCTCTGACATAGTACTGTATTATGATGTTTTGACCACTGTGGACAAAACATTAAGCATTAAAAATGACACTGCATTCCAAAATGATCCAATACGGGACAAAGCATTTCATTCCTCATGACGGCAGTCCTGTATTATAAGAGACGGGTGGTAAATCTAGCCGTGTTCTTTTGGAAGAAATTTGTGGTGTTGCCTCACACTGTTTCTAGTCACATCCATTAGACTACATTAACATTACCCGTTTCTATCGTGCATCCTCTGGTCTAAAAACCAAAAATAGGAGCCGTTTCACTTTGTCACGATGTTTGCCTCATGGTCGTCGCCGCTTGGTTCTGCTCCAGCTGTGGTTATTTTGTGCGGCCAGCAGCACCAAGGTGAACGTGATTGGTGTCTTTTTTCCATCCACTCTCACTTATTTACTGTGCAGGTTTTGAAAACCACACTTTTAAAATCACAATTTCGATTAAAAAAAAACAATCGTTTAGCTTTAACTGTTATAATCAATAATAGTTAGAGATCCACAAATGCCTCAAATTTATCAAAGCTGCTGTTGTGTGTCTGATCTCCAATGCACCTTAAAGGCAGATTTCTATTTACACTGTAGAAACAAGTCAAAGTGGAGCCAAGACTTGGGTCCAAACATGGTAGTGATCTTTCTGAAGTGATTAATGAACAGTTCCTCACCATTAGATGATTAGGATGCATTTATTTGTTCTGGAAATTCTGTCAGTTTTAATCTGGTTTGGGTGAAGTTTGGCTTTTATCAAAGTGTTTGCCCTTGGTTTCTTACAAAATGTTGATAGAAGAACATGTCCATGCATATGTTTTAAAAATGAAGTTTTAAGCACAACACAGAACTAACACAAGTAAATGTGTGCATTGTACAAACTGCACAACGTATTTATCACAGAAACCTGATATCAGCGACACAAACTCTGGCCATAACTCTGTTGTTGTAATCCAAGTCTTTTATTGCAGTATGGCCTTTCACAGGAACTTGCAGGCAGACTGGCTGCTGCTGGAAACTGGTAAAGCGGTTATTAAAAAAAAGAGCACTGTGCTTCAGTTTTTGACAAACCACATCAAAGGGGCGGGGGAGGGAAAAGGATTTGAACAGGTGGACTGGCCTTTAGCACAGCACAGGCAGATCTTATTTTGACAGATCACAGCTCAGAAACATCAGCTGTGCTGCAGTGAGAGGGAACATCTTGAACTTGTGTTGTGGTATGTGTGTGTGAGTAATGGACTTAACACAACATACCAAAATGAGGCACTGTGAGTTACAAAAATCTTATTGAAGTTCAGAGCAAGCTTTTACTGACCAAGTGGATTAATGCCAGTATGCTTCAGCCAAGGTCCACAATTAAAAAAGAAACGAGGCCAAAAACAATTAAAACAACTGCAAAACATAATTTTTTACATCCAATTGCAAAACAATCTGCCATTGCTATTTCAAAGAAATAAGAAATAGCGACAGGCATTTGAGAGTGACATTTGCTGTGTTGTCAGTTTACTATATGAAAATGCAGTTGGAGAGACCAAAGAAACATTGGGTACCTCAACATATACAGGTTCAGAATTATGACTTACAGCTGTAAAATCCAGCAGTCAGCAGGCTGATGCTCTCAGATGTCTCAACCTCTAGCTACAACAAGGCTCCTCAAGCCTTCATTCCCTAATCTCTCTGACCATCATCATGGCACAGCTTCACCCACCACCAAGGTGCATAGATAGATAAAAGCAAACTGAAAAGGTCAAACTCTAGCAACACTTATAGTGTGTTGAAAAACTTTGTGGGATTAACACATTTTGGATTTTGTCCCTCTTTGGGGTCACAAAGGCCATAATGCGAAATGCGGTTGTCCAACAGTAAAACATACTGCAAGTATTGCTCAGGTTTGACCTCATCATCCTGCACCAGGGCTGCAGCATGTTGCAAATGAGAGCTGGGGGCATCTGGCAAAAACACAGGTACAGTATGATTTATACAGTATAAGATTTGGAGTCTTCTGCTTGATCCCTTCACCTCACGCTGTATTTGTGGTTTCCTTGCTTCTCCTGATGGCTGTTTCATTTTTACTTAAACAGAAGAAATACAGCACTTTGGACATACTGTCTGTTTCTCACTTCATCCTTCTGACTGTTCCTGTAATCAGGCTCCACTTCCTATTGGCTCCTTTAGCTAATCCTCTCAAACCCCTGATAGTTTTACAGCTTTATGTAACTGACTTTAAGAGGAGAGAAAAAAAAAGGCTGGTGACCACAGCTTAAACTGGTAATTGGTTCAGGCTTGAAAACTGAGACGGGTGCCTTGACCTCTTGCCAGTCTGGCAGCCAGAAAGCCTCTCTCCGTTCTGTCCATGTGCCTGCCTGCCTGAGCTCCTATGGTCAGAAAAACAAACACAGAATGGAGAAATGTTTTTTTCCTGGCTTACACCTTGGTCCCAGGGCACTCAGCCCACAAACTAACCAGCAACTGAACAGAGGGCAAGAGGCCGGTCTGAGGTCTGACTGTCATATAATGGAAAGAAAAAGAGAGCGAGGCAAGACTGGGGTTCACTTGTGAGCAAAGAGCTGCCGGTTTTTCCCTGAAGGAGTTTAGGATTTTTAAGCTATACTGCAAAATGATAGCATCCAATTAAGAGTTATGCAAACAGAACCTAACCTTTTCACAATTTACATTTAAGCTGTTGCAGTCAAATACCTAATTTTGTGATGCTGATCTGAAATGACTAGCCACGTATTCACGGTCACTAACGCTTGCAAAAAACAAACAAAAAAAAAAGTAATAAGGCCATAAACTTCAGGCCTAGTGCATCTCACGCCATCACACAATTTAATACACAGACACATGGTCCATGACTCTATACAAAATTGATGCCAATATGATCAAGTATAATTCATATGACTGATTCAGTTCAGCTGACATTCAATTTCAATTTAGCTTCTATTTAACAAAGTGTATGTGATCAGGCCAGACAATTAAAAAGAGGGAGTATTACCTCAAAGCAGCTTTGTATTAAAAGCAGCTAAACTCAAATGTACAAAACATGATGTCTACCCTTTGCAGCATAAACAATGGGCGCTTGTGCACGGTAAGCCTTTGCCCCTGCAGCTAAGTGTACTGTATCCGGCGCTTTTCCTCTGATTCAACATTGTGTCATCTTGAGTAGCAAGGTTCATGGTACTCCTGGTTAACTGGACACAAGAGCTACATGTTTTGCACGCCCTGATTGTTTTATCAGGAATCCCTTCATTGTTTCTGCAGAATTTGAAATACTTCCAGGCCTTAGGCTGATGCATTGTACACGGTGGCCTCTGGCATGTTTTTCTAGGTTGTGACATGTGAGGAAAAGGTGCATCACACACACACACACACACACACACACACACAAACTAGAGGTTGGAGCACAAAAAGAACAAACTTGCTAAAGATTGGTTTTTGATAAATGGACATTGGTTTGAATCTGTGGTTTTGAGCCAATGCAGCCATATCTCTGATACTCATACTGAGCATCAATCTTTATATGCAAACCGCTGCTGAAGGGACTGGTCAATTATTCAATTAAAGAAAGGTTTTATGATAACTGTGATAATCCATCAATCATCTAAGTGATTTATTCATAAAAAAAAGCCAAATATCTATTGGTTGCTGCTTCTCAAAGTTTTGACGCACATGTGTCTCTGTCCCTGCTGCATCAGGTATTTTGGAGATCAAGTCAGTGGATGTGGGAGTGGTGGCCATCAGGGGCCTCAGCAGTAACTACTACCTGGCGATCAGCAAGAGGGGGGAGCTATACGGAGCGGTGGGTAGCACTTTCCTTACTGCTTCCCAATGAGCTGCCCCTTTTTATGTATTTATCAGTTATTCCAAATGTTTTTTTTACAGTACATGGTCACCTTTTCATTCTTATGACTGTTAACACCAGCTGTTGATGATGCTAATCAAAGTGAATCAAATTCTTGCAAAAGATACTTTTTTTCCCCAAAGTGGTGACTGTGACTTTTCTTCAATGCTTTTTAAAACAATGGTCAAGGCTGCAAGACTCTATTCTAGAAACAGGAACAGTTAAAAGTTTGTCAGTGTGAGTTCTCCTGTCTGCTGCCAGCAGCTCCTCTACAACTCCATTCAGAAACAGGAAACACAATCCTTCAGTTTCTCTATTCTGCTTCAGTCCCTCTGGGAAAAGCAGCCCTTGTTTCTCTCTCCCCTTCCTTTTCTTCATCTCATTATCTCTCTCCTTTTTTCCCTTTCCCTTATTTTGAAAGGTCCCAAACTTTCGGTGCGTCTCTCTGGAGTCGCACCGCAGATGAAATGTCACACGGTAGAACAGAAAGAAAAAGAGGCATTCTGTTGCATGGCCTGAAACTGAATTCCCATGACGTCTTCTGCTCAGTGCAACACAAGCCATAGCAGCACACTGGTTAAGGGCTGGCGTTCAGTTACACTTGATGGGTTTAGACAGTGACTTCTTTATCCAGTGGTAATCAAATGAAATCATTGTTTCATTATATCACCAGCTTAATACATGGAAGTGACACAAAAGATCATGGTTGTCTTTAGCTTCTGTCATGATTCAATTTGTAAAAAAAATTCTCAAAAATAAATAAAGCTTTCACTGGGTGGTCTGGAATATAATTCTACACAACTCTTTCAATTTAACTACCAAATGTAAAGAATTTTTACTTTGCAACTGGTCAATAAGTCGCTTAGTAAAAGAATACAACCTAATTTTCACATTTCATTGCAATAATTTGATGCAATTACAGCTTCATCCACTTTACGAATCATTTTAATTTAAAGGACAGCCAACACACACACACACACACACACACACACAGTTTGGTTGTAACGAGCACCAGCATTAGTTGAAAAGTTGTACAGTGTCTGTAAAATATTCTCATTTAGCTTTGGGAACATTCAGTTTTACTTCTGGAACTAATTTCAACAGCTGCGCCCAGATACAGAAAGAGAGAGAGAGGGGGTGAGCAAGAGAGTGAGTTGTATTGTGCCTGTGCTTGTGTGCCGTTTGTGTTGTGTGTGCAGGGCAAGTACATCTTTGCCCATAAATATCAACTGAATCCAGTTAACTGGCTGTTAGCCTTAAGCACAAGGGCAGCATCCAGTAAAATGACAAATGCTACTCTCTCAGATCATTTTCTCTTCATTTACTGGTGGGTGGTCGCTGTGGTCATGTACCATCATCATCAACATGTATAACCATTTCAATTCCACGTCTAGTTACAATTGGCCTTGATTACACCGGTGGCTGATGAGTTTGTTGATCCATGTTGTCACAAGAAGTAAAATATCAACATACTGCTGCTGTTAAGTCCAGAAGAACAAATGAAAGCTGCTCTACAGAATTTCTTTCACCTGCTCAAACATCTAGTGAGACTCCAACCAAACGGACACCATAATCTGCTCCTAACCGCCGTCTGATCCTCCATCACATTATGTTTCCAAGCAACAACAAAGTACAGATGCCTGGTTGTGACAAACTACAAAATGCGGTCTCCGGTCCTAAACTAGTGTTAGCTGACTAACAGGTCAATATGTCAATCCAGCCGAACGCTGTGGTTACAGCAAAACACTAACACTACACAAAGCTCTAATTATTACAAAATTAAAATCTTATTAATTAAACACAAAGGTAAAATCATGACTATGCTAGGTCACTAATGTTAAAAAAAGCAATCACATTAATTTTAGATGCTAACTCACCCAGAAGGAAGAACGTCACCTCTGAATCAGTTTGGGTCCTTTAGCTGCTTTCAGTTGTCTCCATCTCAAAAAGCCAGGAGACAATTTTAGTTAATGCTCCATTAAATATAAGTAAACATGAAAATATTAAATTTCCAACTAATCATTACTAATAATCCTGTAGTATTAGTAATAAAACAGAGAACAAGCAGATAAAGAGAATGTAAAGATGAAGAGAACCAGGAACACTGCTGACTTCCATGGCAGTCATCCACCATTCAGATTAAGATGTTAATATAACCTACAACAAATAATCTACTTATGTGCATTTTGCTAAAAAAGTCAGATGAATTTTACATAGTAACTTCTTCCAAAATGAAGGGCATTTTGGATTAAAGCTATGCCAGACACAAACATTAAACGTATTGTTGTCTTTTAGGCGCTCACATTTACATTCCTTGTCTTTGTCCTGCAGAGGGACTTTGGCCCAGATTGTCGTCTGATTGAACGCATTGAGGAGAACAAGTACAACACCTATGCTTCAGCAGAGTGGCGCAACAAGAAGAAGCACATGTTTGTGGGACTGAATGCCAACGGAAAGCCCATGAGGGGGAAGAAGACACGGAGGAAAAACACGGCCACTCACTTCCTGCCCATTGTGGTGCAACCACGATGATGGGACGTATGAGGCAGGGAAGAGCTCTGCAAACTGCAGGGTATCAAATGTCTTTGGAGTTGCAGTGATGACTACATTGGACAGATCTGAATGGGATCTGAATGATGCACTGAGGAAAGAACTGAAACTTAGAGAAACTTACAGTATAGACATTTATCTCTGTTGGATAAAGACGCTTCTATTTTTAAAGAAAGAAATAAGATATATTGGTATACACTGTGTCTAGTATTTCTGTTTTAAGTTATAAAGTACATTGGCACAGTAGAAAGTATGAAAATAAACTACTTCTGTGCCCAAATGTGATTAATAGCTCACATTTTAACAGCTGTGTAGTGTGAAGTGCTTGATTGGGGGGGGGAATGAAATGACCGAAGGCAGAAGATGCAAGAGGACAGAAAAGAAGAGCATGTACTAACAGAAAGTTAGCTGGTAGAAAAGGAGAGCAAAGGACAAAAAAGGCAGGACAGAAAGTGGCAGTGGACAGGATTTGGTCATGAAAGCACCAACACAGCTGGATGTCTAACACCATCATGTTTTTCTTTAAATTTATTTATTTTGTGTAATATTTAACAACAAAAAGACAAGCTCTTGTCCTTTGTACCATTTATGCTTCTCTTTTTGAATACTAATCATTTAAACCTGAATAAACACAAAAATATATTTGTCTTTAACTTATGACTTTGAATGTTATAAAGACGTTTCTGTGATTCAGTCAGTTGCACATATTGTAAATACACAGGAAAAGTTATGAAAAGGGAAGTTTTTAAGTTGGCTGACCCAGGCAATTGATTTACTGTATCATTTTAATATCATTCAAAGTCCTGGGAATTATTAAAAGCAAACTGACAATAATCTGTTGTACAGTGTACAAAATAATAGTGTAACGGCAGTAGTTAGATTGCATGTTATGTTTATTACGATCACATAAGCTCATTTCATGGAGAAAGGAGATTAAAATGGAGCTTACTAGTTTTGTTGGAGCTTTCAGCACTATGGTATTTATCACTGACTGGAACTGCTTCTTCAGGACAAACCGAGCAAAATCCATTTGCTGATGAAGACCCTGAGGCGGTCATCATCAGTAGGTTGACTTCGCTCACTTTGCCTGGATGGATCAGACACCATTCAGTGATGAATACTGTGTGGTTGAAAGCTTCAGAGCTGATAAGTGAACCGCGAGTCCAGATTATTTTGTCTAACTGTTATTCCAAAAGGTCAAAACTTACCTTTAATGCTCAAACACTGAAATATCTTGGAAACTCAGAAACATCATTGTTGTCTTTTTCTAAGCGATTAATGTTAATAGCAAACTATGAGTGACTGGAGCCTCTTATGCAAGATAAGAATCAGGAATCGCTTGGAGACTCGACTTTTAAAAGAAACCCAGTAGACGGCCTCGTAGATGACTTCAGGGGTTTTTAATTTCTCACTGCAAAAAGCTGTCCCTTACAAATACACATGGCAAACATGGCTTCCTGCAAGATAAACACCGTCTTTTATATGATAAAGGCTTTAGAAATGGCCAACACACATACTTGGGTGGCTGCGTAAAGAGGTGTGTGCATCAGTGTGGTCTATAAGCTGGGAAAAGCCTCCTCCTTGACCTTACTTGTCTAAAACCTGTTGCTGTGCCCCCGGAGACAGAAAGACACATGGAGCAGGGCATATGGTATAACGTAAATATCACTCCCTTGTTTATCACCTGATTCTAATTAACTATGAAGTCATGGTTTCTTTAGTTTTCTCTTGTGTTCCCATCTCTTTTTCTTTAACTAGTTCTCTCCTGCGATTTCACTTTCCCCCCAATGTTTTCAGCCTTTTGGCATGTCTTGGTAAAGTTCAGACAGACTCCAGAAATTAGCAGCATCAGACCTAGAGCAAGGTTAACTCACAAACACACAACTGAATGTTTCTGCCAAGGGCTGCAGCAGCTGTAATCTGTTCATTGCATCCTTCACTTTCAACCCTCTGCCATCTGTGTGTGTGCGTGGTGTGTCTGCGAGGTAATTTCCGAGAATGATGGGATCCACCAGAGTTGGTCTGTCCTGCTGTGTTTATTACAAAAAGGTCCTCGATCCCCTTTTTGTGCCCAGGAATCCTCAGCGTCTAACACTCATGTCTAAATGTGAGTAAGTATGATACATCAGAGGGAGATTCAGATTTCCTTTCATCCTCCCAGGGCATCTACTCCTTTGTTTATATGATTACTTGGGTGTTCTGTATACGACATATCAAGTACAATTACTCTGAAATGTGTTCAAGACACTGATCCCCCTCCTTCTCCTCCATTCTCCCTCCCTCATAAAGTTCAAGGGCTGGTACTCCAAAGCCAAGATGTCTTTATTATTTGGTGGTGCGGCTTAAATCCATAAAACTTCCCATTTACATCCCGATTAGAAATCTGGATTCAAGCTCAGATATCTGAGACAAATTCAACCACTTGTTCATTCCAAAAACCTGGAATCCAGTCTGCATATATACCACATGTAGACCCCTTGGAATAGTCTGATGTATTTTTATTGCAACTTTAACATGGCTTAATGTGCCTTTGCCTGTACCCAAAATACCTCACAAAGCCAGACTTTAAAAGCAGTGTGTTTATTCAAAGCAGATGTTTCACACCGATTATCAACCTCGGTGACATCTGAGTTAGTCTGTGCAGCAGCACAAAGCCATGCATCATTTCTTCCATTTCTACAGTGCATTTAATATTTTCTAAAAACTTTTTGCCTGTGCCATTTTTTAGAGTTGTGCTTGGGTATGTTTGGCTAGTGTTTGGTTTGTTGAGGCATGTGGCGAGACTCAGTATGTGGTTTCTGTTTTGACTACATCAGGATCCATCGGACCTGTGTCGAACCTCAAATGAAACGTACACCATTGGCTTCACACATTCACAGCTCCTCTGTTTGCTCAGAGAGTCTTGTGGCTGTGTGACTTGACCGCAGCGGCAGCTGTGAATATTTTACATCCTGGAGAGAGGGAGAGAGAGAGAGACACGGAGGACGCTTTGAATCAGAGAAAGATGTGTGGGTATGGAGGAAAGGTGAATAACTTAAAGAATCACAGTCCTGGGGGCATTTATGGCATCTGGGGGGACATAAAAAATGAGGGAGAGGGAATGTTTGCTGAAAGAGCAGCAGTTTGAATGGGATGCCAAAGGTTGAGAGGAGGGGCCAAGTAGTTGAGAGGATGAAGGGGCGATTAAAGCAGTTGCCAGAAAATTTGGGGTTGGAGCCTGGGGGTGTGGAGTGGGTTGAAGGAGTATTTTCAGAGGTAAGGAGGTTTGGAAGGGAGGCAATTTGGCTTGGGGGCAATCACTGGAAGCAGACCAGGGGAGCTCCTGGAACCCAGGAGGTGAACCAGGAGCTCTCCCTCCTCCTCCTCGCATGTTCAGCTCCTTTAACTTTTCCTTTTTTTCACCATTTGGTCCTTCATTGCCGTTCTTATCCTTTGAGATCCTTTGCATTAGAGATGAATTAATCAGTATTTTGTGTATTAACAGATACTCCAATGTGTAAAATGACAGGAGCTACTTGTACTGACAAACCCACAGAAAACTAGTACAAAACTCTTTCAGCATTCTGCTCTGGCTTTATGGTCCCCATCTTTACTCAGTGGCTCAGTTTCACCGATCTCACGCACACTGTTTCAGGCAGAATAAAGCAGCAACATCAAACAAAAAAGCTCTGATAAACCCACTGCGTGCAAGAGTCTCACTACCCAACACACATAGACACAATATAAAGAAACATTTAGTTGCTATAAAGCTACATTTTTTTCCTTAGAAATTGGTGAAGACAAAAACAAGGCTAAAAGAAGAGTCAGACAGGACTCTAGCTTGATGATGTTAATCTGAATCTGCTTGGTTAGTTAACAGGCAACTGTTTACCAACATATTAGCTATAACAATTTTAGAAACCAATTATGTGTCATGGCGTTGTGTCTGACAATTTGTTCTGGAATTCCTTCACCTCGTAGCAGTCAAAGATCATAACCATAATCAGTTAATGACATAAATTAAAGGAGATGTGATTTCAAACACCAAAGTCTTAATGAAGTACTACTGCACATGTGTAAACATTTTTACAAAACTCTGTCGCTTCAGATGGAGCTGTGTAAACTGTGATAAACCTCCTCAAGTGACGTCATCTGAGTCAGACTAAAAGTGTAATGTGACCTGACCTGACCTCTGTAGCCCGCTTCTCATTTCTGATTGAGTCTAGCAATTTGAGACGACAAAAGAGCATAACGCAACAAAATCTCCTTGCTGGTTGAACTGCATCATGGGGAATGTAGGCACCATACCAAGAACATATAGAATAAAAAAAAAAAACCTGTGGTTTTACTACATCAATTTAATCTTTTTGCTAAAACCATCCATTGTGAGCTTAACAGTGTTGTAACAGTGCAAAGCTAACCACGCACGCACGCACGCACGCACAAACGCACAAATCCTTCATTTAGGACTTGCCGCAAAAAAAAAAAAAAGTGTCATGTCAACAGTTGTTGACAAATGAAACATCTCAGTTATGTGAGAGTCTAATATATTTAGGGTTATAAGCACAACAAAACCTAAAATTGAAGTCGTTTGCAGATGCAGTAGCATAATAATGAGTTTCTAAGACCAAATCAGTTTTTCCTTCCCCTTTGGGATTTGCTTTTTCCTTTCAGGAAGGTGTCAAACTACACAAACCAATGTTTAAATATAGAAATATGAATCATTCCACCTCATTTGCAAGTGTGCTTTCACAAACACTACCCCATCTAGTTCACCCCCCAGCTGCCCTCTGACACACACACACACACACACACACACACACACACACACACACACACACAGCTCTACGTCCTGTACCTGGAGCGCAGCCTCAGCTCCAGCTCAATCTTAACATCTCCTGAGGGCTTCAAGTTTCCTGCAACAGGTGGCTCAAACATTTGCCTTGGCCTGTACTGAGGTGAGGTCTCTGTTTATCGATTTGGAACGAGTGCAGAGAGCTAGGAGGGGAGGGGAAGACAGAAATAAAAAGAAGTGTGGGTGACGATAAAGTGTGTTGGCAGGGGAGAAAAATCTTCGGAAAAGTCACCCTGACAAGACTCCTAAAATGTGAGTAACTCAAGTAGAGTGTTTCATCTTAATGCATTTGCTAAATAGAGATAAAAACCAGAATAAACGTGCATTTTGTAATAATATTTTAGCCAAAGTTTTGATAAACCTATGAAACATTTTCCAGAGCTGGAGCCAGAGCAAAATTAGTCTCCTCTCCTCTCAGTTTTCTCTCATATCTGCCTCACTTAATTCATTTTGTTCCTCCTCTGCTCTGCTTTACTTCTTTCTCCTTTCCTTTCCTCACCCCCTGCTCTCCAGAGAAATATGCCTGCAGTATAAATGAAAATATATTTGTTGTTTGTGTTGGCCTTCTCTCCTGCAACTCCACTGGCACGATTTAGCCTTAGACCCAGGGTCGCTGGAACCGGCAATGGCAGCAGAAAGTATACTCTCTAAGCCTCTATTAGTCATTGATCACTGGCTGCCTGACAGCAGAGTCAACATGCAGGGCATTAGGGCCGACACAGGA